AATCATTTCCTTGGGGGTGAAAATGAATTTTTTTGCATATTTTTTTATCTGCCAGCCTTTCAGAAGCTTTCTCACACCATGTCACCTAGCCTATAAATTGTCTCTATAATAGAGTATTTCTTTGAGGTACAACTGATTTTGGGGATTCATTTCCTTGGGGGTGAAAATGAATTTTTTTGCATATTTTTTTATCTGCCAGCCTTTCAGAAGCTTTCTCACACCATGTCATCCAGCCTATAAGTAGTCTCTGAAATAGAGTATTTTTTTGAGGTACAACTGATTTTGGGGAATCATTACCTTGGGGGTGAAAATGAATTTTTTGACATATTTTTTTATCTGCCAGCCTTTCAGAAGCTTTCTCACACCATGTCACCTAGCCTATAAATTGTCTCTATAATAGGGTATTCTTTTGAGGTACAACTGATTTTGGGGAATCATTTCCTTGGGGGTGAAAATAAATTTTTTAGCATATTTTTTTATCTGCCAGCCTTTCAGAAGCTTTCTCACACCATGTCACCTAGCCTATAAATTGTCTCTGTAATAGAGTATTCTTTGAGGTACAACTGATTTTGGGGAATCATTTCCTTGGGGGTGAAAATGAATTTTTTAGCATATTTTTTTATCTGCCAGCCTTTCAGAAGCTTTCTCACACCATGTCACCTAGCCTATAAATTGTCTCTATAATAGAGTATTTCTTTGAGGTACAACTGATTTTGGGGATTCATTTCCTTGGGGGTGAAAATTAATTTTTTAGCATATTTTTTATCTGCCAGCCTTTCAGAAGCTTTCTCACACCATGTCATCCAGCCTATAAGTAGTCTCTGTAATAGAGTATTTTTTTTGAGGTACAACTGATTTTGGGGAATCATTTCGTTGGGGGTGAAAATGAATTTTTTTGCATATTTTTTTATCTGCCAGCCTTTCAGAAGCTTTCTCACACCATGTCACCTAGCCTATAAATTGTCTCTATAATAGGGTATTCTTTTGAGGTACAACTGATTTTGGGGAATCATTTCCTTGGGGTGAAAATGAATTTTTTAGCATATTTTTTTATCTGCCAGCCTTTCAGAAGCTTTCTCACACCATGTCACCTAGCCTATAAATTGTCTCTATAATAGAGTATTTCTTTGAGGTACAACTGATTTTAGGGATTCATTTCCTTGGGGGTGAAAATTAATTTTTTAGCATATTTTTTTATCTGCCAGCCTTTCAGAAGCTTTCTCACACCATGTCATCCAGCCTATAAGTAGTCTCTGTAATAGAGTATTTTTTTGAGGTACAACTGATTTTGGGGAATGATTACCTTGGGGGTGAAAATGAATTTTTTGGCATATTTTTTTATCTGCCAGCCTTTCAGAAGCTTTCTCACACCATGTCACCTAGCCTATAAATTGTCTCTATAATAGGGTATTCTTTTGAGGTACAACTGATTTTGGGGAATCATTTCCTTGGGGGTGACAATTAATTTTTTAGCATATTTTTTTATCTGCCAGCCTTTCAGAAGCTTTCTCACACCATGCCACCTAGCCTATAAATAGTCTCTATAATAGAGTATTTTTTTGAGGTACAACTAATTTTGGGGAATCATTTCCTTGGGGGTGAAATTGAATTTTTTAGCATATTTATTATCTGCCGGCCTTTCAGAAGCTTTCTCACACCATGCCACCTAGCCTATAAATTGTCTCTATAATAGACTATTTCTTTGAGGTACAACTGATTTTGGGGAATCATTTCCTTGGGGGTGAAAATGAATTTTTTAATATATTTTTTTATCTGCCAGCCTTTCAGAAGCTTTCTCACACCATGCCACCTAGCCCATGAATTGTCTCTGTTATAGAGTATTTTTTTGAGATATAAATCATTTTGTGGAATCATTTTTTTGAGGGTGAAAATGAAGTTTTATTTATATTTTTTCATCTAGCACCCCTTTAGAGATTTTCTCAGTATATGCTATTTAGCTCATTAATTACTTTCAATACAGTAATCGGTAAGTGAAAACTCGAAGAAAGGTTGTGGGTTAACTCTTGTTCCTACCAATTATTTAATTAGGGTGGAAAATGATTCTTCCTATAGGGGTGCTTATTCTCGTGCATATATATATATATATATATATATATATTTATTGTTGCGAGCTGTTAGCTGTATCCTTCACAATCACAGTCTGATCGAGGATGTCGACGCCACTGGTCATTCGGGTATCTTCGGCAAATTGTCCGCTAAATTTTGTCTGCCAACTTCACACCGGTACAAAATAGTATATGCTTTTTGGATGTTATATGATATGTACATTACCAAAAAACGTGTCACCTATTTCCGTTTGTCTACCTGCCTGTCTGCCGGTCTGTTGGTCCTGTCCGCTAATCCTTTAACTGCCTATACCTTTAGGAATGCTGGTCGGATATTGATGAAATTTTTACACAATGTTACTACTATGCCCAGGATGAAATTTTTTCGAAAATCGGTCCAGAGGAAGCAGAGGAAAAGGCCAACAACGAAAAAAAAGAATTCAAACTTCGATTTTTCATTATTCAGAGGATTCTGATCATTTTTGAAAAAAAATCAGAAGTAAAAAATTTGGGGGTGGAGGTTGTCGGGGGTAAAACTCAATTCCTTTTATTATACATCTCTGAACCTTGATAATTCTATGCACCTATTAAATAGGATAATTATTTCTCCATTTATTAGGCCTTAAAAATGCCACGTCTGACCAAGTCTGGAAGCGGGGATAGGCGACGTTGCCAGATTGACCACTGGTAGGATGCAAAAAAAATGTCTATGGACTAATGGTATGGACCTGTTTGATTGACTTTTTCCTTAGTTGGTCTATTTTGTGCTAAACATAACCCTATATGCCATTGACGCCATTTTTGTACTCCCTCCTGTGAATGTATCCATATAATTTAGCTCTGTTATCTATCAACTTGGTTGCCCTGTATCTCGACCACTAGTCAGGGAAAGAGCTTTAGAGCAACACTTCTGTGAATGAGAACCTGCCGAATTGATAGCTCATAACGCGGTAATGAAATGTGATAATGGAAGCAATGTCCAGCAACTCTGTGTTTGGTCAGAAATGGGGAGTCGAATTTCAAAATACCAACATTTAAGTTAGCCATATACTCGTAGAATGAACTCATAGATTCATATTTAAAACAAGAACAGACATATAAAATATGTCTACACCTCGCAAATGGAGGCCTCTGGAGGCAAGTTCAACCGACGTTATTGCAATGATCCTTTATTTTATTTTTTTTTTATACTCTAACTACCACGAAGGCCTAAGGCCTAAACATCAGGAGACCGAAGAGTCTACTACTGCGGCCACCGCTGCTGCCTTAACAAGGTGGATATAATTAATAGTAAGAATTGCGTTTAGACAGTATTTTTAATATTATTCCCAAAGCCTCCAGGTTCAAAGTTATGGCAGTAATGTCAGTTTAACTTGTTAAAGCGTCCTTTCCGAAGTTGTATAACTGTAGGGTCGGTATGTAGTTGATTATAATCCCCGGGCCTTTTTCTTAGAAAAGGGGCTAAATTGTCAACGGATTACTTCATGTCATAAAAGAATCATGGACATTTTATGAAATCTGTTGAAGATATGTCAAAGTATGTTGACTCTATATCTTTTCGATTGATATTCTGTATTATAGTTATAGACGTTAATAGACAACAGAATTGCGTTGGAAGCACTGATTCACCCTACTTTACGCAATTCGTTCTGAACAAAAATGTTGTTAACTGGTACTCATAAAATGAGAAATAAAGGTGTTATGTGTAATTTCAGTATATTGGATTCTTTCAAGGCACAAAACTAAAATGCAATATTCTTTTTATATGCGCCTTTCTTATCAAGTAGGCAATTTCAGACTAATACAGATGAATAAAAAAATTATTTTTCTTCAAACTATTCGCCATACATCAATGCAGGTAGATCAATGTCTGGCCAATCTTCTTGCACCTGAATCTCGTCTGGTTCATCATCCACATACAGCTGGCGGCTTCTTCCTCCCGTATGGAAGCGTGATCTATGAATTATTGTTACGGGAATTGATCCAACTTCATAGGGACCGACTTCTAGTGCTGGAAAAATCAAATTATATGTTACGGTTAATTACTGCAATATAATTACATTTTGTAACAGATGTGATGATATCGCATTCGTGGGAAAAAGTTTCTAACCTGATTTAATTTCCATTAATCAATTTACAAAAAAAAAATATTTTCGCTCCAGGCAAAATTATGTTTGAGTTATTTTTAGATCATCTTGAATCAAAAGGTCTTTAGTAACTGTGACCCATAGCGTTTTAGTAAGAATCAAATGACAACCGTGGGCATGTCCGAAATAAGGAAACAGAGGCAGAAATAAGACCGACGTTTCTGCTTATTGGCTTCATCAGGCCCGAATGAATGTGCATCGAAAACACCGAAGTGAGAACATATGGCCATCATATTTTGATACGGATGTATCCTGAAGGAAAAAAAGGAATATACAGTGTATACAAGGTGTCAACCAACCAGCTATAGCTATCTGCCGCGGTACTTTAAACCCATGAGTAAATACAAAGAAAGACAATTAGTCTTGCGGAAACTTATGTAAATAAAAAACAAAGAACAATCGTGAGCATGACCGCAATAAAGGAACAGGGGCATAATTGGTAACCCGAGCGATGTTCGTTTCTGCTTATTGGCTTCATATGCCCATCAAATCTGGATACGAATGTAACCTGAATGAAAACAATGACGGAAACTAAAATACAACTAGAACACCTCGTGTTAACGAAGTATTAACCAAGGTCACCACGGAGGTCTCGTATTTCTGCTTCTGATCCTTTATCGCGGATTTGCCCAGGATCGTTCTTTGTTTTTTCTTTTTTTTCTTCGCAGTTCTCACAAAATTACTTTTCTTCCCTTATTACGAACAACTCGCCCTGTGAACAAAATCAAAATCATGTTTAGACCTTATACTTTTGAAAACCAAATACCCAAAATTTAGTTCAAGGCAAGTCAAAATTTATATAGTACAATGTTAAAGTCCCTAGACCCACTTCACATGAAATACTAACATAGAACAACTACTTTTTCTCGCTTGTACTTTGTTCCTGTTCTTTCTCCCTCTCCCCTCTCCCCTACAACTTGTCTCTTTTCTGGGCCACGAAACATGACAGACTAACATCAGACTCTGACGACACTGACATTACAATGATTATGACCTAAAGGCTAAGGTACTCCGGATCGCCTTGAGAAGCAACGACGAGTAGCTATGAATAATTCAATAACCCGATCTAAAGCAAAGTGAGACTCATCACTTATTTGACACCTGGCAGGGTTAAAAACAGTAGTTTTTAAGCGAAGCATTTGAAATGAATTTTCAGGGTTATTCAGATTTCAAATCGTTTATGACTTGAAAACGGACAACTTTACATAAAAGTTACTGAGAGCCTTCTTTTCAAAATGATCCATAATTAATCGGCTTAAAATCTAGCGTTCAACGACCAACAAATAAGCGTCATATCTCAACTAGACCCTCTTGTAATTTTCCAAACCCCTTGAACCTACAGAACGGTGTCGGCAGATGCGTTACTGGTAGTGTTTGGTATAACGTCAATCGATTTTGTTATGGAAAGGGCGCCGCAGCTGGAAACGACGGAAGGAAAACACCGTCTGTTAGATGGCAGGAGAGGTGTGATGCAACTGGTTATGGCGCATGGGCTAAGAGAGGCTCATTCTTCTTCTTCTTTTCTTCTCTCAATAGTCCTTTTTTCTAGATGTCACAGGCTTTTTGAATGAACCATATTCATTAAACTTTCGAGTCAGTTCTAAGAAAATGGACCTGCCTTCTTTCGAGAAATTTATCAAAATACATATCTGCATGTTTTTCGTATTTTTGTATAACAAAATCTAGCACGTCTGTATGTCAAACTTTTGTTAGTTGTTAAAATGATCGCCTGGCATATTTGACGATAATAAAGCAATATTTATAATGCACAATAATAGCGATACCCGGTGAAAGGTATTTAGGTCACGTCAAGCAGTTGTTTGCAACTTACAAACCCATTTTCCTCATGAGAAAATAAATGTATCATGTGATACATCGTTAAATTTGTATAAAAAAAGCTATTAGATACAGGGTGTACTTTTTTCGGACCATATAAAAAAATAAAGTTGATGGTCTGTCAAAAACGAATTGTCGGGCACAAAATTTAAAAGCCCCATCAGGTAGTGAGGATTCTCCTAAAAGTATAGATAGAGAATTGTTTCCGATATATGTCTCCTTCTGCTATCTGGGCTCAGCGCCCTGTGTAACGATCCCCCTGACTGTTCTGCTTGTGTAAGGCAGGGAAAGAATGTCTATGAATTAATTGTATGAGCTTGTTTGACTAACTTGATCGGATTAATTTTCTATTGTACATGTTCGTAACTATCTTTTTTCTCAGATAGCTTAATTTATGCTGAACTTAATCCTTAATAAACTGATGATGGCGTTGCATAGAAAGTGCGGATTCAACCACCTTGACGCCATTTCTTTTTAGATACTTACGTGGTTCTGGACGTCCTTCACATATTACTTGGTCATTCTCGACAATCCGTATGATTTCTGGAATTACTTCTTGATTATCGAACTTCAACTTGTATAGCAATCCGTCGCGCAAGATCTGCGCTCCAGACCTCTTCATTGATATGTTCACTTTCTAAAAAAGAATAAATGTAATAATAATATTGGTAATATTAATTATGTTATTTGTTCCCAATGTAACAAATACATGGATAAACTAATCAGTAATTTTATTGCGCAGCCTCTCAATCTGGACTGCCTTCTTCTCTGCATTCATGTCACTGCCAAGCCGAATTTATTAGGCGTTATAGTTCTCTTGTTAAAGTAACTAACGCTTAAGGATGAACTTGATATTGAAATATGCGTTTTGAGAGCTAAGTTTTTGTTAGCAGTGAAATTACAGTTAACCTACAATTTGAAAGCCGAGCCTCAGTTTGATATTTACAAAATTTTGGTCAGAAAAATTAATCTTTCATCTTCGAACTATCAGACCTGTACAGGCTGAATCTTTAACTGTGAATAGCACAATACACAATAATAAACCAGTATACAGTGTGTCCCAGATTCGCTTCTCTATACATTCGGTTTTGGAAATATTGGTGAAAAACCGAAAATTTTGTTTTTTGACAGCTGTCAAAATGTGAAAATCTTCGGGCACTTTTTTTGGGGCAAATAAGATAGCATGTATGACACGTTTCAATCGTCTTTTGTTTTCCCGCAACCTGCTTCAACTTTCATTTTTCTTGTGGCCACCATATTGGATTTTTCAATTTTGAAAAGAGCGTAAAATTTCCAGCCTAGTGATGTCTCTCAACTGCATAAGTATCATCGAAATATCAGCACATGAAATTTTATGTATTAATTTTTAAAGGTCATGATTTATTTGTCAAAAAAGAAAATTAATAAGTACCGCATTTTTTTATCTTAGGAGGCTCTGACTTTGACGTTAAATAATTCAAAGTATTGAAATCGTATTTTAATAAGCTAAGTTTGTACGAAAAACAGTCAGCAATTCTCAAAAGTATCTGGATGCAAATGGACGTTATTTTGCAAATCTGTAAATTAGCATCCACTTACATAATTAGATTTTACATTTCATTAAAATTTAACATGCTTGTTTGTTCAAGTGTAAAATAAATTTACGACGATTTTTCTAACTTGTTTTTTCAACACACTCATAGTTAGGAATTTTACATTTGACTTGTTGAGAAGTCGATATTAACGTTGATATTCTATTGAACATTCAAGGCGGTCATGTGTTTTTTTATGCCTTAGCCTTATTCATTAATGTTATTTTCTGACAAATAAATAATGGCCTCCTTAGAAAGATACTAATACATAACATTACGAGTGATATTTCGGTGATGCTCCAATCTTTTATGCACTTGTGAGACAAAATTGTACACTCTTTTCATGAATCAAAAATCCAATATAGCGGCGATAAGAAAAATGAAAGTTGAGGCGGGTTGCTGGGAAACAAAAGACGGTTGAGACATGTCATACATGCTATCTTATTTTCCTTAAAAAATGTCCGCCGATATTTCCAAAACCAATAAACGGATCGTAAGTCTGAAGTCGGCTGTCGAAAGCACAAGGTTTCCTCTAAAACTTCCCCCATTTAACCTTTGCTGTAGTTATAACAGGAGCCGAGATCCCTGTATAAAGAGGCAAATCTGGTACACACTGTCATTTTTATGTGCGTCTTTTAGATCCAGAGTCTTTTCATAAAAAGGTCATTTATAACTAATACAGAAAAAAAATTACTAGTTTACGAAAACCACTAATGTAATATCCGAGAGATTACCCAAATATTCAGGAATATCTGCCAAAATCAGAAGATACTTACTGGGTTTGGAACACGTTGAGCAAACACTAGTGTAATTGCTAATATAACAGCTCGCTCATTCTCATATGGAAGTTTGATCTCTCCTGAGATTTCACCATTTTTGTACTTGTATAAGACTCTTGGAGCACATATGCTTCCTTGTGGAACGTAATAGAGTGCTGAGCTCAGTGGGAATGCCAGACAACATAAAAGTTTTACAAACATTGTTCACCTATAAAATGATGAAAGTGAGGACCCTGAGAAATATTTTTTAAATCGTGGGCTTTTTTCATTTAGAGCAGCTTATATTTTGATAATTTTCAGCAGTTTTTGAAGTATTTAAATCGATATTCGTTGCCAATAAAAGGTGATCGAACATGTCACCTTCGAGTCTGTTGTGCTTCGAGACCAAAGGATCTACAGAAAAATAAGAAAGGCTCATGCGGAGAAAGGCATATAACAAATAGAAAAGGATCTACATAAAAATGAGAAAGGATCATGCGGAGAAAGGCATATAATAAATAGAAAAGATAATGGGCAACTCTGTAAAAATAAGAAAAGTGGACCAAAATTGAATGCACTTATGTAACTACAAAAGTAACACATGCCCATTTAACCAGATACGGGTGAAACCTGAGATAACGTAAATGGAGAGGGAACAAAACAACACACAAGTCCACTTTCCTTCTTTTTGCGTATTTGCTCATTATTTTTTTCTATTTGTTATATATCTTTCCGCGTGTGACCCTTTAACTCTTTTTTTAAGATTCTTCGAGCTCGGAGTACCGCAGCCATAACCAGCCGCGTGGTTGTGGTTAGATGTCGCCTTGAATATTCGAGGTCTTTTGGCCATTTACACCACAATGTATAGGTTGGCTCTTGTTGGTAGCTTCGTGTATTGCTCCCTCTCCACCTTCGTTTCCTCGTGTTCCACTCGTATCCGAATATATGGGCATGTGTGTCTGTTTTTGTAATTACATATGCCTGATGAAGCCAGAAATACGTACTGCTCGGGTTACCTACCCCTTTTTTGTCTGCTCGATTTCACCTTTCTCCTTTTTGTTGAATTGTTCATTTAATTTCTTAATTTCGCATAAAGTAGTTATTTTAATATTGCGTTAATGCAGCCATTGGAATCAATGGTTTAAAAAAATTATTCTGCGTTCGTCCTGTTCTGGTCAAATTGGTCTCTTATGCAAATAATGTCACAATAGAGTTCTTCTTACCTGAAACGTGAGAGCCGCACGACAAATGTGGTAGGACAATACGTATATTTGATTTATGCTTAAAGAAGTATGAAGCAATCATGAATGTATTGGCGAAATAATGGCAGATAACGGAACAATTCGCAATAACAACCACTTATTGCTTTTCAAGTCTAAACTAAAAAATATGTGCTGCGATATGAAACTACCTATTATTGTATTGAAAATAGTACTCTGAAACTTGCTCGTGTTTGCTACTATAGTTCTAGGTTGTGTAATAATTGTGACTTCGTTCAACACCTTATTTTTAATGTTGCGTCAGCCAACAAATGACAGGTATTCTTCAAATGAAGTATGACATCTTAATATCACCTGAACATTTAACCATCAGATGCACACATATCGGGGCTTCATTCCTCAATTGTTACAGGGTGTACTTTGTACTACTTTGTACTTGGTCCTACTCCGTAACAATTGTTTGACGTACCTGGGAAATGGAACAAAATAATCCCTTTGGAATGTCAAAAGCGTTCTTTTCTTCCCATTCCCAGAACCTAGGAATTAAGAGTTCTGTCACTTGTCATACTCATAGATCAGTGTTTGTTTTGTTTTGTTATCGAAGACTGCCCAAAATTAGCAGAATATATATTTTTCATAATAAATGTTACCTCGTATCCATAGAGTTTCATAATAAATACAATGGTCGCAGAGAACGTGGTTAGAAATTAGTCTGCTGTCATGAAGAGTCATTACATGACTTTGTAATAAGTTAGGCGTTGTAAAAATAAAATTTCACAGTACTCCAGAGTAAATTTTTATCTGTCAGTCTACATTCCATTATTGTGTACGGTACTACATTGCCAAGTGCTCCACAAACACACCTCAGTTGTACAGATTACTGACAGCATGTTTTCGCTTTTTCCAAACATTAGAGTTGAAAGTACAGCCCAAATATGATGAAAACTTCCTAAAAACATGATTCCAAGATGCTTCACTACCTAAGTACAGGGTGATGGAGCTTGACTTTTAAATATTTTATAAAATATAGATCTAGGGTGCGGGTGGGGAAACTGGCTCAAGTTTTTACATAATCATCTAAGCACGTCATAAGCCATAAGTTTTTTGGCCCATACTAAATTAGGGGCCTAGAAACTGGGGTACATCTGTCCCGAATAGAAATTATTCTCTACGCCACAAACCTTTTCGAAAAAATAAGTAAATTTATCAAAATTAGATTCAATTCGGCACAAATTGTCTTTAGAGAATTTTTTTTCAAATCACTCCTTTTGGAGATATTTAGGTGTGACGTTCGAGATACAATCCTAATATTTTCTTATAAAAGAGCTTAGCCGAGGGCTTAGCCTCCACTGTTCTTAAAACTCTGTGAAATTATAATGTTGCACTATACTATAAGGCGTCTGAAGGAAGCTATTGTACATCATTACAACATTATTTGATTAATATGCGTGTCTTGTCCTCTTAATCAGTTGCGTAGAAACTCACTATTCATTCAACTTTTCCTGTTCATCTAAAATCACAACTAAAGTCTATTTATCCAAGAAAGACATTAAACCAAAACAGTAATCAACGGGTGTACAGTGCGTAACAGGTCCAATGTCCAGCCAGGAAGGTGGAGTGGGAAACGACACGGCGGTGCTTGAAGCCTGGCCAGCCTTATAACATGCACGGGATTCTGGAGTTTGATCACGTGAAGTATGCGTGAATATGTTTGGGTTTAGTTTCTTTCTTTGATAAATGGACTAACATATAATAAATGTTGAACCAATTAATTCAAGTAAAGTTATTATTATAAAACCTCTGAAATTATCGGACCCTTCTTTCGCAAGGATGAGAAAATGTCCATGTCCTTTTCCATCCTCATAGTTAATGAAGGATTAAGTTCACAAATTAAACCTTCCGAGTATAAAAGTTAGTTACGAACATGTACAACAGAAAAATTAAATGCATCATGTCAGTCAAAAGGGGTCATATAATTAGTTCATAGACTTTCTTTCCTTGCCCTGCTGGTAGTCCCATCCATCAGGCTATGTTCCCATATCTGACAGCAAGACGCGGCAGCGCCCACTGCGGCACCGATGCAGTACTGGCAGAGTCCTTAATCAGACCGGCATGTCTGCCGGTGAGCCCTGAAAGCAGAAGCAGAGATATCGAAAACACGTCTCTGTCCTCAATTAAGTTTTCAAGGCGGAAGTTCTTTATGTGTGAAATATGTCTAATAAGTTAGTAGAATTATCGGGGATGAAGGTGTATGAATATACAAATATCAAAAAAAAAGATATACCCAACCCCACACCTCACAACTGATCGGGAGCGTCTAAAACGTTGAGAAACGAAGGTTGAGCGATTTTCATTTGTTTGTGTTTCCACCCCTGGCTTCACCTCTACTGAACAGATTATCGAAAACGCCTTTATGGCCTCCTTGATTTCCATTGTTTTCTACTGTTCCGCGCTCTATTTTGAGGTTATGTTACAAACATCTATTTGCATCAACTTGTTCATGCTTTCGATTTATGTCATCTGTTTTATCAGAATGAAATTTTCTACAATTCAAAAAAGATTAATGCTATACAATGTTAAAGCGCTGACGACACGGAATAGCAGAAATCTAGGAACACCCCAGGCTTTATGGAGGAGAGAAAAAACTATGAAAATCAAGGAGGCCATAAAGGCATCCTACAATTGTAGGAACGGCTGACGATACAGCTCTTAGTACGTCCGAAATATATTAAAAGTTCTATCTACGACCTGTTGGGAGTTGGGGTATGTCAAAATTCCAGAATGGGAGTTGAAGTAAACATAAATAAATTGCAACAAATAAATACTGAACAACGAATTCGAATAGATTAGAATTCAAGCCAATATGTTTTTGTTGCATTTTTGTGTTGTGATTTTTACTCATTTGACTACTAATGCCTACCAAAGTGACAGTATTGTATCAACTTAATAATAGTAATAATAGTACTTATCGGTAGAAACATCTACTTTCATTAGGCTTGTGTCGCTCTTCGCAAATTATGTAAGAAGCATCATGTCATGGAATCATCTAAGACCACAATTATCAACAAACACTCGCACTTTTGATAAATAACACTAAATATAGGAATTTAATCACTGAACTGTAAAAAAATGACCTATGTCAAGTGCACACCTCACTACAGACTATGAGCATTATAAGGCAACCTTAACTGGATCCTTCTACCTAGTCTGAATTCTTTGATCGGTCAATTTAAAGATGGCGGACAATATATTTACTTTACCGGCATAGGACGTAAAGAAGCCAGGTGGGCTAAAAACTAGGATTTGTCTCTGGAACAACTTATATGCTTTGTTCAGATCATTTTAAGAACCGTTCTGTGACGATCACGCACTTGTGCGCTTAGGGAAAGATTTTCCAGCGCTGTTCGTTATCCTAACAGAATGATTCTGTGTTTTTTTCTTTTGACCAGTTTTGGCATCGTTGTGGAACGGTTTTGTTGCAGTTAATGAGCATAAAGGCTTATTATATGATATTCGATCCATACTGGTACCATATCAGAACTCAAAGTTAGAACAAAACTATAACGTTCACTCTGCTACCAGGCCGTACATAAATAATGGTTGAATTCAAAATTGCAGGTGGTGTTGACCGATTAAGATGAAGGATCGAGGTAAAACAAGAAAACACCCTAATAAAAACTAGAACCGTTTATTTGAAAAAGGATAATAACCAGTCAACGTATTTACTGGCGTCAGTGAATATAACGTAATTACTCAAATCGCAGTGTCTAGTGGCGTGCTCTGACACAGAAATAGACACTATGCCTCTCAGCATCCAGCGGCCATTTTGTTGTAGTGCGAAGGCACTTCCGCTGTCCCCGTTGCATGGTCCGGAACCGTTTCTAAAACCTGTGAAGTAGACAAAGTGATATATATATATATGATTCTTTACGCGCTTTTTGACAGTTACGTCATGAACGCCACACGCAATAAGCAAGCAAATCCACTAACTGTATCATGTGCGGGCTGAAGCTCCATAGGAAAAATGCACGCTGGGCAAACCAATTTTAAACGCAGCTGCTCTTGCTCACATGAATTGGTTAATAGAGTACAATTGCTTTCATTCACTTTTTGGCAAAACAATTGATATTGTCCGTTAGTTAAAATTTCAGGAACAGGCCAGAGCCGTTTGAATGTTTGTAACTGACCCAGAATTAAGGTGATTTTTAAGCTTCGGGAAAGTTACAATGGCTCAAGTCAGGCGAATAAGGAGGCTGAATAGTCACATGAATTTTTGTACTGGCTAAGAACTCGTTTATTGACATTGCTATGTGACACCCAATTGTTATTGATCTTATAAACGGTTATGTGGGTCAAATTTAATTCTGTCATTCTAACAGTCAACCGACGATCTAAACGCACAAGATCCCGGATTCTTCCGATATTTTCATCGGTTTTTGAGGATGAAGGCCTTTCACTTCGTGGTTCATCTTCAATCTACTCTCTCCCTTCCGAAAATACCTTAAACCACCGAAAAACCTGGGCTCTTGACTCCGTAGGCCTACTGTGGCTTAGCACTGTGCCCAAGTCTGAAGAAATAACTGATAGGTAGCAAACCGTTGCTCGAAATTGATGTCATTCATTTTTAGAATAGGAAAAACTGTTTCTCAAAAAAAAACATAACCAAATGACTCGAACAGGTTCAAACTGCGCCAGTGTTTCCAGATCGAACGCTACGTTGCCGTTACTTAATTCACAGACCTCGTTTGTTGTTCGGCTCAGCAACATTGCAATTCTGACATATGTACAGGGTGGACCAAACTTACATAGATGTAGTATTACTCCGAGAAAATGTGATTGGAATTATGCAGGGTGTCATTAGTTAATTTTTATACATTTCCATGTATTTTACCACATATTTGGAAAAAACCTAAATGCTTTCACATTTTGTCGAGTTTTAAAGTAAATGGTTTGATCATAAAACATATAAGGTAGAGTAAGTGGTATCTCGACTACTTCAATAGAAAAAGTGGAAAAGTTGCTTTTTTAGAAGGATTCCCATAAAACGTGAGCCGTTCAATTTTATTGAAGCCGTTATATTCCCTGATCATATGTGAAGCGTTATTCACTCGTTAAGCTCACTTTTTTATCTTAATAAATCAATAAATAAATATAAAATGTTGATATGAGAGTATCTCATATAAATTCAGCAACAATGCAATGTGAAGGAAACTTACCAGCGCAAAACGTCCTTCCAGTGACCTGAGTGGCAAAGATAGCTGAACTGCTTAGGCAGTCTTCGTGGCTAACAACTGGCAGGCTCACTTGTCTAGGTTCTGAGGTGGTTATGTTGCCATTTTCATCCATTCCCCATCCTACCACAGTGCCCAGTTTTCCTAGAACACATAGTAAAGAAAAATGGCTTATACAGGGAAAACCAAATTTGACTGACGGCTTAAGTTCAATGCGTACGACTGATAAGCGCGAGAAGTATGTATCAACACATGTTAGAAAGAGAGAGAAGCCGGCTGAAGGACGAAGATCGTCACCAGACTGCCTAGCGACGGTGACGCAGAAGGTCGTGCAATCTGCCGCGTTGCCAATATGTTACACCAAAAAATGTTCGCACAGGTTTCTACAATAGGTTGGGTTACTGTCAAACCTAAGAAGGAGGTCTATTCGAATATTTAACTTAATATTTTGTTTTCATTTTGATTAGAATTATACTAAGTGACATATAAATCCGAGCACCCAGTTTAAATGGTTTTATTTTAATAAAATTTTGTATAAGTACTTAATGAAGCATAATAAGTAAATGATAAACATTTCAAAATGATTGCACTGCTTTAAAGCCCTTTGACCTTTAATACTGTGTGGATGCACCCTGATGTGCTACGCATTCTCCAACGCGCCTAGGCATGCTTCTGATCAGGTGGTCAACGTCCTCCTGTGGTATCTCATTCCAGGCAACCACCAACTCCTCTCGAAGTGCTTCTAGAGTCGGAGGAGGACGTTGCAAATTGAGCTATCTCCTACCCATCATATCCCACACGTGCTCAATTGGGAATAAGTCGGGAGATCTTGGTGGCCATGGTAACAATGTGACATCATTATGTTGAAAGAAGTCTATTGTGACTCTTGCAACATGTGGTCGGGCATTATCTTGTTGGAAAGTTGGATCTGCCAGGGTGTCAAGATGGGGTTCTAGAACTTCGTGGATAGAACGCTGCGCGTTCATGTTACCTCTGATGAAGATTTAAGGTGATCTGGAACCATAAGCTATAGCACCCCAAACCATAACTCCAACAGTGTGATGAACATGTCTTTCAACAAAAAACTGTGGATTCCTCCTTTCACCACGTCGCCTTCTAACCCTGGCACGACCATCGTGCATGCCTAAACAAAATCGAGACTCGTCACTAAAGACAATACTGTTCCATTCCTGATCCCAGAGTGACCGTTGTCTGCACCACTCAAGACGATTACGTCGGTGTTCTCGAGTTAAAGGGACGACCCAGTGTGGCCGGTATGAAAACAAGCCAAAACTTCTCATTCGTCGGTAGACACTTCGCATGCCAATAGGTCTTCCGTGTTCTGCAAACCATTCATTTGCAATGGACCTGGTAGTGGAGAAACGGTCCCTTAAGGCCAATAATCTTAGGCGGCGATCTTCACGGTCTGTTGTTCTACGGCGGCGTCCAGTGCCCCTTGCGCTTTGCGTACGGCCTTCTCGAAGCCATGCCTGACAACACCTAACCACAGTGTCTACACTTCTTTGCACTCTAACTGCAATTGCCCGAAAAGAAGGTCCAGCTTCCCGAAGTCCCACTATACGGCCCCTATCAAACTCACTAAGTTGACGAAATCGTACAGGTCTCCGTACTCTAGGCATCGTAACCGATCGTAAAGGATGTCAAGAACCAAAATTCGCCAACGTTGATTCTTTACTGCGGCTGAAATATTCATTTTTAGAGCGTTAGTGAATTAAAAAAAAAAGCAGTATAAAAACCGGAATGTCCAACTGATAAGGCTGAAAATTTTTTCACTTGTTATATAAGATAAGTACATTCACCAACTTTTATTAAAATAAAACCATTTAAACTGGGTGTTCGGATTTATATGTCACTTAGTATATTAATTCCAATTTTGATGCGACTTAGTGCTTAATACATCCTGAGTTATTATTACATTTTGAGACTGCGAGGGGTACGAAGATGTAACAAATACCATCACGCGAAACAAATTATCACTGCCTGCGTCTACGCAGGTAAAAACCATTTGGAAACAAGGAGCGCTCATCTATAATCATGGAGGTGGAAACTTTGCCTTGTACGAGATGCAGTGTTGCCAATGATGAAATCGTACAGAATATGTGCCGATCCCGACCTAAAATGACAATTCACAATTCAAAAATGTTTACGCTCAAAACAAAACCATTATTTGGGCGTAAAGAATAAACTAATGCATATTTTCAACATGCATCTTAATTCAAGGAATTGGTGTAGCATAATGAGAAGGCTGCCGATTGCCGCGTCAGCGCTGCTGGGCAAAGCGGTGATGAGCTTCGCTATCCAACCGGCTTCTATCTCTTTCTAACATGTGTGACCTATACACAATTCTCTCTCGGACACATTGAACTCAAGCCGTCTGACAAATTTGTATAGAATATTTCGAGGACCCTTTAACATGGTTCTGTTAAAAAAATTCGTTTTATATAGATATACAAGTTAAAATTTAGGTCGTATTATGTTTATACTTCATTATACATGGTGTCCAAATAGTGTGTCAAAGCTCAATATCTTCGTTACTATTATAGATGCAGAAAAAAGTTGAAAACAAAAGTTGTAGGCAGAGCTAAGGGCTACAACCTAAAACTCTTCAGCTATACAGAGTGTCCCATAAATTGGTGGCAATATATACTTGTATTTCTTTTAATTGAACAGGCTAATTTCTGTTAATTGTTAGAAGCGCCTTTTCTTGGCCATTCTGCCAATGCAAGGTTTCGGGAGTTTGTACTGGGTATTTCGGAATATATAGTCAATTTTTCGTTAAAATCATTGTACATTTGACTGCCCATATCTTAAACACACCTTAGATTATACTGAGTGATGGAAGCAGTGGTAGACATTCATATTTACTGTTTTTTACGTACCTGCTTCATCCGAGGCATACAGGGAGAGTCAAAACGGAAATATGTAATTTTCTCAAAAAATGTACTATGATTTTAACGAAAAAATGGCCATATATTTCGAAATACCCAGTACAAACCCCCGAAATCATATATTGGCAGAATGTCCAAGGAAATGCGCTTTTAAAAATCAACAGAAGTATAGGGTGTTCCACTTAAAAAAATACAAGTTTATATTGCCACTAAGTCTCGGGACACCCTGTATAGCTAAAATTAATGATGATATTGAGCTTTGACACACTACTTGGACAGTTTGGACAGGCTGTATATAATTCCCTAGGGCTCCCCAAAGTTCCTGTACTATTTTTCTAAAGCAAATTCCAATATATGCATTACCCGCTAAAATTACACAGACAGACTGTAGTAAGTTTAGATATTGATAAACCACATCAAGAGAAATCGAATAACTCTTACCTACAACAACTTCCAAGTTTGTCGGCCCACTCCACAAGCAAATAGGCCTAATGGTTGTAGTAAACTCAATCCTCTCGATCAATTCCAACACTGCAATGTCCGCATCGCTATGCGAGGAAATGTAATCGGGATGCACCGTGATAGACTTGGGAGCGATAATCTTCTCCCCGGGACTGTACGTCCATTCTTGGATGTTCAGCTTTCCTAGTTTCACCAGCAGGTCTTTAGCGTCCAGAGTTTCGTCGTAACCGCGGTTTTTCCTTTTCACGCAATGGGCAGCTGTAGGAAGAAAAGTTGGACTGAGTAAGATCTTTGTAATCATAACCAACCATATACAACGTTGCTTCGTGCTTTTCAGCAACTGTAAGTACGGTATAGGTCTAGTCATTGGATACAGACAACGAAAAACGAACTAGCGGATAAAAAAGACCGTCTCGTAGGGCACAGGTCACCTATTATATTAAATGTTGAAGAATGCTTTATTGACGGTCTTTTTCAAGGCACCAGTAAGAATATTTATGGTAATCAAGATCTACTGTCATTTTATTGTGACATTATTTTCATCAACTTGTATTTTAGCTGTCGAATTGTTAGTAAAGCCTTTTTCCTACATATGTGGTTTCGTTTATCGGCTGGGAAAACATACAAATGAAAAAACGACATAATTGCAGCATAATTTTCAGGAGCTATATTCAGCAAATTAGCACATCGGTACATACCTGTTACCACATGAAGTTGAGAAATGAGCGTAGCACTGCATTTGTACGAAACAGTGTATGATACTGCAGAGGAATTAGCCCAAAATAACGCGGCCAACCAAGGATAGGCCCCTTTTTGAACAGTGCCTCCATGGAAGACTAGCTGGTTGATTGTGACTGCCCTGCCACAAGTGTCCTCGAACGGTATTGTGTCTGCATTTATTTTTGGCATCACACCAATCTGTAATGTAATAATGCAATATAGAGTGGTATTGATAAATAGTGTGTTCGTCAAGCTACACAATGTTCATGTGACAATAAACAAATTTTCCCAGTAACACATATACCAAATCTGAGATAACAGAGCTATTAAGTTCTAAAAAATCTGCATGGACCAGTCCAGCCCAGTGTGACACTAGGTGCCGCACGTGTAGGTTAACCTACCTAATTGGCACATTCTTATGGCAGTAAGGAAGTTAATGAATTAATGTTTTTTTAGACCGAAACAGCCGCGCAAGCAAAAGCGTAAATGCCAGGCGACCGCGGCTGCTATAAGGATCCCAAAGAAACGTTGTTAATCAGATTTCTGAACTTCCAAAGGATAGTACAACTGGAAAAAGCCTCCTCTTGTAGATTGTTCCACCCTCTCGACACCACAAGTACAAAGGAGCGGTCGTATCTGTCAGTTCTGAATGTACGCAGTTCAACACGGTAAGGACGGGAGGCCGAAGTCAAGCGGGTCAGCCTGGCAGGCACATCGCGCAGCAGAAATCGGCTTGTCGCTCTTAATTCATATATGTAGAGTGCTGTCATCAGCAAAGCTGTAGATTGGATTGATCGTGTAGGAAAGGAGGTCGTTGATATGTAAGAAGAACAGTGTCGAAGATAAGACTGATCCCTGGGGAACACACATTTCCGAAACGTGACATTACAACAACTTTTAAAATTCTATATATATGCATGTCAAAATGACAAATTCACATTTCGTCAATTGTAACTATAGATACGGACCTTTAGGGGAATTTTCGATACCTACCAGATAATTTTCACTAAAACTTTATCGTTGTCTAGGTAATGAGAAATTTTCGCTGTAATTTCGCGATAATTTCACATGTCTTATGGATGATTTTTTTGTACATGAGGGAAATTCGCGATTACAAGATAGGTGAAGGACGTAGGAGGTAGGTTGTAAATTAACCCGACAGCGGTCACACCCCCAAAGTATATTAATCAGGTCACTGCGGGTCATAGTGACCCGCTAACGTTAGGCCCTATAAATTTAGTATAAACAATAAAATTTTGTGATGATTTTTTTAAATACTTTATTTGCGAAGGTACCTAAAGCATATAACCTAACATTGGTATAAAAAAACCTTAAAACCTAAAAGTTAGGTATCTTTCAAAAAAATAACTAAAAAAAGTTTTTTTTTGCATTGGTCGATTAGTTTTTATTTCTAAAAAAAATCCTACTTTAAATAATGAAAAACATAAATCTAGTTTTTCTGCTAATACATAATTAAAATATATAACAAAAAATTTCTCTGAAACCATTTATAAACTGTATTTATTGCGTGCCCATTTCTAAGGAGTACTTTTCAGACAATTCAGGCATGTAAGTTTGCCATGATTTCCACAGATGTATGTTTTGCGAATCGCACAAGTGTGATAAGATTTGTTACCAGTTCTCGCACATAATTTACATCTCTTCTTTTTTCTTGAATCTTGTTCTGCTTGCTCCTCTTCAGCAGCAGCAGGTTCACCTTCCTGGAGAATTTCTATAATGTTGGTCCTGATAAACTTGGGAAAATTTGCAATTTGCTGTCGAAATCGCATGTATGGAGAAACAAGTTCCTTGGCTAACTCTTTGAGCCAAGTTCTTCTCATCAAGCGCTGATCCCCTTTTTCATTGTACGATGATATGCCAAAACTATTGACCCCTACCACATCCAGAAGATGAAAAAAGGCTGAAAGGGGCCATCTGTTGGTTTTCCTGGCTGTTGAGTATGTGCCACACATCTCATCTACTACATCAACCCCACCCTTTGTGCAATTGTAAAATGTGATAATCTCTGGTTTTCGGGCGACACCACTATCAGGATCAATTGTTTTACCATGGTGCATAGTCGATAACAGAACAACAAACTTGCCCTTTTTTGGTACATATGATACCAGCGTTGTACTATTTTTTCCAAAACCAAAAACAGACGAGCTTACCTCACGATCTTTGCTTTTTATAAAGCAAGGAGGGAGCTGAGGTTTATTTTTTCTGATGGTTCCTACAGTTGTCAAGTTATGTTGCTGCCACAGGTGGTGACTAAGTGGAACACTGGTAAACCAATTATCATGAGTAACATTTCGTCCACTTCCGCTTATTGGCGTTATTAGTCTCTTGACAACTTTATCAGGGGCTTGGCTTATTTGGTGAGGTCCTGGGGTTTGTTTACCCAAATAAAACTCCATATTCAGCACATAAAAAGTTTGAGCATCAACAAGCGAAAAAACTTTTAAACCATATTTCGCTGGTTTATTTCGCATATATTGGCGAAAAGAGCAACGCCCTCGGAAACCTCATAACATTTCGTCTATAGTAGTATATTCAGCCACTGAAATTTTTTTTCTGCATTTTAAAACAATATAGTCAAACACTTCTCGTAGTGGGGCTAATTTATCTACTGCAATTCTAGCTGCATGATCCCTTTTGTCATCGAATCGAAGAGCTCTAAGTAAAAATCTAAATCGCTGTTGGGACATCACGCATCTAAAAATTTGAACACCAGTTCCATCGTCACTTCATAATTCATCGGTGTGCAAATGAGATGATTTCAATACACCTGCATAGTACAAAAGTCCAAATAGAGCTTTTATCTCTTCCAAATTTGTGTTTTTCGCGTCTCTTTCACGTTTGTATTTATCTCTTATAATACCAATATAAATATTTGTATATTCAACAATTTTTAGCAACAATTCATCAGCAAAAAAACACTGCCAAGCTTTCAGTGGCGTATCAGCTTGTCTAGCAGCGCCTTTGGTACCTGGTAAATGTGTAACAATATTTTGACGTCTCGTCCGAATTGACTGTGTTGGCTCAGCCTTCTTCCACTTAGTTTTGTCTTTGCCGTTATAAGATCCTCGATAGAGCAATGGAATGTCGTCTTCAGAAGTAGAACTATCACTTGCAGGATCATCCCCATTTTCATCATTACTCTGCTCAGTATCGGTATCTCTTTCGCCATCATCTCTACTCTCTTCTTCCGGATCTACATTGCTTCCAAGGGCGCTCTCGTCCCCTCCCAGTTCTTCCTCGGTATCCACACCATAGAAATTTTTACATGGAATAGGATAAAAATTGCTTGTTCCTGGCGTGTCCATTTCCAAATTCTAATTAGAACAGCTAAAACAAAAACATTAAATGATATTATCGCTGCCAAAACAGTAGAAACTGTAGAAAGCTTGACGAAATAAAGTAAAGGCATATTTACACCCACAGTTTTTCCTAATGTTTTATTTCTGTAGGAAATAACGTATGAGTAGCATAGGAACAGAAAATCTGCAACAGTTTGTTCATTCATAAACCACGTTATCACTTTGTTTTTACGTTCTAAACTGCACAAGTAAACTGTCGCAAAAAACTGTGTGTAAACATCCTTTAGTGCTTGAAATATTTACCTAAATCACCTTACTAAAAAAAATTGCAAAAATGGAATTATTATACTTACTTACACACCAAAATGCCGGTAATAAACAATAGAACCAAAAATAGTCGCAAAATAATATGACACCGCAAACAGTCGCTGCGTGTCACGGTGACCCGCAAGAGCTCCGTTCAAGTAGACAGCTCAATGTAAACAAAGCAACATGTACTGAGTTTTGTAGATAAGTAGTACATAGGAAGGTACCTAAGAGGCGAGCGATGTATCTTAACTAATACGGGAGAGGTAGGGCGTAGAAAATATGTGCGGGTCAGAGTGACCCGCAGCTACCGCTGTAGGGTTAAATTAACTCCCAATCTCACCTGTGTTTGCCTTGTACCAGGAAGGTTGTTGTTTTCCTCTGGCCTCCTTTGGGGTGGTATGGACGTCTTCACTTGTGGCCTTTGAGTGGTTGGCCGGTTAAAATTTTGTCCAGAAGCTGAGAAAGAAAGTCACAATCAATACTGGATTCGTACAAGTATGTTACCCACACCGTTAGACATGTCAGTCTTTAGCCTGTAGTTTTCGTTAGAGGAATGCTGTATCAATAGGCTATAGATTCATACGTTAGCCAGGAAGGTAATTTCATACTGAAGAAGGTTCAAAATGTCATTTAGTCCTAACTAGCAGAGACGTATTGAAACGTTGCCCGACGTGCATGTTAAACGCAGCTAAAAGAAATGCAGAATATAAGCAAAGTGTCTCCAAGGTACCTCATAAAAAAGACCTGCAGTGTTCTGGCTGTATCAAAGAAAGATAAACTGAAGAATAAATAATAAAAAGATGTATACAGATATTTGATTGCGTAATGTGATGAGTTATCTGAGGTTTTGTCGCCTCAAGGGTCGTGATTATAAGTGATAAATGATCCATACACTTTTCTATTTTCGTTGCCGAGAAAACAAAACTTTTACTAATCATTATTCCTCTCTTCTTGAACTCGTTGAAAAATATCAAACTCGTAAAACAACGCGCAGTCGAGAATCTTCTGCATATTTTGTTGCATAGAACCAGAGTCGTCAGAACTGTGTATCAATCCTTGTATCAGCCTCCTATATATTTCCACCTCCCTAGACTTACAAAAATCCAGATGAAGCATCGCTCAGAATCTAAGTTAATGGAAGAGTAATTACTAGCGTAATGTCATACAGAGCCTAATCACGTTATGTTATTCCTTAAAAGGTTCATTTCAGCGAAGCTAAATAAGCAGATAGAGCAGCACGAGGAAACTTTAGTTAATTTTTACCTTCCTGGGATGTATCTCCATTAGCGGCCAACGAAGACAAAAATGGATTTCTGGATATCAATTCTGATATAGCTTTTTCTGCATCTAGAAACGCCGTAACATCAAAATATTTTTCATGTTATCAGAATTCATCAGTACAAATGATATTAGATGTAGCGTAGTTTACCTGATGAAGTTCCTCTTTTTGTGTTACGATCCTTTGGTGATGAGTATTGTAGATTGTTCTGTATTCGTCGATCGTCATGTTTACCTAACCAATAAGATATATATGGAATATATTTTCAAAACAACCGAATTATTCGTAGGTTATTATCTGTGTTATTTAGGGAAAACAGTTAGTGCTATAGTTGGTATTAGCGAGAAGCTAGCCAGATATCGTAGTAGTCTCACTTGGGCCCCTTGTAGTCACAGCTGAGCAGAGTACCGAAAACAGTGCCCTCGAGTTTTTTGCAAGATGTACTCAGCGAAAGTACTCACAATTGGATGAGTATGAGTACTACGAGTAGATTGGAATGCACTCAAATATACAGTGTGGCGCATCGAAAACGAAATAGACGCATTTACTGGCAGCTCAGTTTTTTTTTGAAAAACTTCAGACCCGTCGATTTTGTTTTCGAGGGGGACACAAGTTTGGCAAAAATCACGTTAGTTATGTGCAGCCCCCTAAGCGGTTGTGACACCGCCTCCAAAATCTTAAATGGAAAGGGGGGTCGAGTGATACCTTATTTTAAAGATCTTTCAATTCCCTCTATAGTGATATAAAATTAATGTACTTCAGTTCAGTAGTTTTGAAGATTTATTGATTTAAAGCTTAAATAAAATTAATACTTCATCATTAGTGGAGATCAATACATTTGGCAGCAAAGTAATTTTTAAAAATGAAGGATGAACTAACCCGGTTAGGCAAGTAAATGTTGAAAATGGCCACCATGACTCTCCATGCAATAATAAATATTTTGCTCAAAACGTTGCCGCACATTTTGCAATATTTCAGGAGTAATTTGAAGGCACTCATTCACAATTCTTTGTCGCAAGTCTACTAATGATGTTGGCTGAGTAGCATCGATCTGGAAACGTCTGATCTAAATATTGTCGAACACGTAATGCGTAATGTGGTGGGGCACCAACCTGCTGGAACATCAACCTATTCGCAATGTCTGATTTCAATTATGGCTGTTAATGCAGGATCTATGGCGTCTTCCAGTAATTCCAAATCATTTCACCGGTCAAATTTCTAGGTAAGAAGGACCAACTAAATGATCGCCAAAAATACTAGCCCAAACATTTAATTTTTGTGTCTGCTGTGTATGAACCTCATGATAAATTCTGGGATTAGAATCGGACCAATATCGGCAGTTATGACGATTTACTATGCCATTTAAGAATAAGGAACATTCGTCGGAACAGCAAGTGTTGAATATAAAATGTTCATCGTTTATAATTCGTTCACTCATATCTTCGCAAAACTGACCCAGTTTCCCGAAATTTAGCTACAAGTTCTAGAACATATTTTCGATGCACGTTACTGCTCTCATGTCGCTCATTAAATATTTCTGCTGTTCTATTAGCGCACCGATTATTTCCGAAAAATATTTCGATAATTTCAACTCTTTCTGCTGTGGAATATACCATGCTTAATTTATGTAATAAAGCGTTACAAGTTATTTTAGCAACAAAGTTTGGTCAAATCAATCGCAAACTATGTACTAAATTCCTATTTAAAATAAGTACGAGATAAGAAATAACTTTTCTGCTACAAAAAAACGCTCCAATAGCTATTTTCAACAACAAAATGATAAACAAACCATGGTCGTTGTGAAGAAAAGCATTTACTTATTAAGTAAATTCTTTTTATCAAATTTCTTCTGAAAGTAGTACAAACTAATCTGATGTACTTATTAAAGTCTACTTTCAGCTTTAAGTCAATAAATCCTCAAAACTACTGAACTGAAGCTCATGTATTTTACATCATTATAAAGGGAATTGAAAGACCTTTAAAATAAGATATCACTCGACCCCCCTTTCCATTTAAGATTTTAGGGTTGGTGTCACCCCCGCCCAGGGGGCTGCACGTGTTAACGTGATTTTTTGCCAAACTTGTGTCCCCCTTGAAAACAAAATCGACGGGTCTGAGCGTTTTTCCAAAAAAAACTGACCTCCAAGTAAATGCGTTTGTTTCGTTTTCGATCCGCTACCCTGTATGAGTACAAGTACTTATTTATCGTAGTACCCGTAGTACTGAGTAGTAAGTACGAGTATCTTATAAATTATAAGCAGATGCAAATCAATGATCAGAACAAGGGGATTAGGAAGGATTAAAAAATTAGTATATGAGTACTTAAGCCTTTATTTCTCTACAAACTAAAATAAATAGATTCGGAAAAAAATCACAAACAAAGAAGCGTCAGACATTGAACAGTAAAAGGAACTAATTTTTAAAATTCTCGTCATTAATGTGTTTCGCTTAGGAGCATTTATAATTATTGTTTATAAAACATCCGTTCAACCCGTGTTGACGATGGTAAGGGTGTATTTGAATAAATACACAGTTTTCTAATTCCGCAGGATAGTCATTCAACATAGTTAGTCATGTTTTGAATCCTCTATACATCTGAGATAATCGAGTTTCACCATGTCTACTTTCGCCATTCCGATACCACCAGCCCCAGACCCAGACTCTCTAGGTTCAGCTTGGTTAGCTATGTTACATTGTTGTCTGCAACATCGACATCGAAAAAATTGGCCGTATGTAAAATGTCTTCTTTTTGAATTATACGTTCAGATGCTTTCAAGAAATTGGCGCCTTTATCGTTTATTAGTTACCAATTTTTATAAACAGTTGGAGAAATACGTGACCACCTGATTTCGGTTGCCACGTGTGTCAATTGTCACTGGAAGGGTGGAGGTACTCGTACTCAGTCCTCATAAATTTTGTAAACAGTACTCGAGTACCGGCCTCGGCACTTGGTTTGCCGTAATCTGTTATTACAAAAACGTCGGAAATGCATAACGGTAAAACTGAAAATTTGATCCTCAAATGCTTAACCGTGTCTGCAATTTTCTAATTATTGTTACTATTTCTTTTTAATTGTTTTAGTTGACGAAATATCCAGCGAACTTCAAGTGCGTAATCAAATGGCCTCATATCGTGCTCATTCTCTTGCTAGAGGCTTAATTTAATATGGTGTTGGAAGTGATACCAGATTCTTTTTATAAAAACCATGTAAAAAGCGACGCCAAGGGTACATATGTTGTTGCCTCATAATCAATTAGGTTAGGACCGTAGTGGATGCCCACTACTGAAAAGCGGATGAAAAATACAGACTTCGGCGAAAAATGAGACTTTTTTGACCTTTGGAGGCTGGAAAAAGCATTGGAAAAATTAGAATTTACATCAAAGGTCAAACGGTGCTGCGAGCTGTGGGTCATGTTTTCAATTTTCATGAAATACTTATATTACAATATATAACCTGAAAAGAAAGTTCTGAAAAATACGTTTTGCCTAATAAAATCAAACATAACTTCGGAAAACAAAGATTTCGCTGTGGAACACCCCGCATTTGTGAGGCATACGTAGTCGCAGTATGAAACTATATAGTTTTGAATAGACAATTTAATAAACTTTAAATATTTTTTTATATGTGATGACTAACGTTGCGGTGGCTTCTTTAAGAAAAAATGGTATTTCTGCTCCCAAGGGCTCAAAAAAGTACCTTTTCTCGTCAAAGTGTATATTTTTCATCGGCTTTTCAGTGGTCAGCATCAAATTACAATTACTCAGAAGCAACGGACTAAGGGTCATATTCTTAATCGTCACTCAGTATAAGTAGATTTGAGGGTACCGCAATGAAGTGGCCCTCAAGCGTCTCCTAATGTACCCGAAATTGACAACATCATTATCTGACAAATTCAAATGTTTTCTATTAACCTATTTGATGTTAGTGGTTCTGGCACTTGCGTTTGAAGTATAGTTGTAGTCACCGTTCTTGGCGGGTCAATGTAAGGCTACCAGTATCGATTTATCTATCTCCATCTCCCTCATACGTACACATGCAACCTACCCCTGTGTGTGAACGTTTGTTCGGTAAGCTCAAAGACATACGTTTTTTAGTTATGTGTTTCCGACTCGAAAACTTTGTCCTTACGTATGAGTACCCGTCAATCATATTTGTTAGTAACAACTTACTTGCCATCGGCAACTTGAGTTGTCTTGTTATCAATCTTCAATATAGAATTGTACAATGCCCGGAAATACGATCAATGGAGAAGGCCGACAGCCAGTGCCAAGTTTATTGGAATGTTTCCAGTAAGAAAATGTTATCCACTTCATGCGTACTGGAGAGAGTAGCACATGCTCTGCAGATTAGTCTGCACAGTGTTCAGCGAATAAAATCAGGAAATAAGAAAGGTTTGCTCATATAAACACCGGGGAAAACTCACAAAATAAAAAAAAATGCAAGACCGATGATGTAAGTGATGCCGTCAAAACAGAAATTAGGAATACTTTAAGTAAATAATTTTGAATCGGTTTCCAACAGTTAGGAAAATTAAGATCCGCCCATGGTACGGAGACTAGATCTATTTACTTATTTCATATGGCGTTGAGGACGTAACCGCCAAGAACGGTGTCTACAACTATAGTGTAGTTAAAAATCCATTTTGCTCACAATCACTGTCAACTAGGTGACAACATTGATCGTACACGAAAAATTACTTAACCTGAAAAATTATTATTAACCATTGAGAGTATCTTAAGTATCAATGAACCCTGAAGTGATGTTTGCGAATGTCACTCTTCTTCTAATCGTTTAGAAGGCAAGAAAATATATGCTGCTGGCGACGTTTTTTACATGGTTAGTATAAAAGTTCCAATATCTCTTTAAATAAGATATTAAACCAAGAGGATAAGCCCAATATAAGACCATTTGATTGATCCAATGTCGCTGGATAGCTCGACAAAAAGCCATTTTTCAGAAAAAAATTAGTAACAATTAGAAAATTGAGTATTTGAACATTTTTGAATGTTGTTAAGCAGCACAAAGAGTTCAAATTTTAGCTATCGTTCCAGATTTGCCGTTATGCATTTTTCAGTAAGAAATAAATAATGTAGAAATCGACGATTTCGGACTTTTTGTAATAACAAACTAACCGTTTCGACAAATTGGCCATGAAAGATCTTATTTTGAAGGTGTTCTCATCCCCAAAGCTGGTCCACATTCACCAATAGTTCTTTACTATTTGAATATAGTCGAAAAAGTGGTTTGTCCTACCTTATCGTTTAATAAAAAAGTTAACCAGCAAAAATATTTGTATCTCGGCCAGGAGCGTTTCTGCCCCTGAGGAATATAATTCCGTTGCAAAAAAAGCTTATTAGCAAGTAAGCCTTCTCATCGAAAGCCTTAACATGTTAGTAGTGGCTGCACTTGATGTGAAAAATGTGTTTCCATTTCTTTCAGCTTTTAGGATCAAAAACTGCTTTAATTAGGAATAATACCGATGAAAATTATATTTAAGGTTTGTGCCACCACCGTTATCTGTTAATTATTGCTACATGCAATGTCACAGCGTTAGTTTGATGCTGCATAATGCGGTATTACCTGGTACATCAATAATAATAGCATCCGCTGTGGTGTTTTCAGGAAAATTCCCTAGAACATCTAAGAAAAAGAAATGGTAAGGCAGTGAGGTGAGAATATATTCACAAAATATACCTGATGTTGGTGCGATTGCAATATTGACCTGAGTTATTGAGGAAGGTGTAGCGAGCTGAATATCTTGAGGTGCATCCTGTGTGTATTGGGTGTTTTCTGTTAAAGACACATTTACACTAGGGTGGCGCACAAAAATATTATCTTCTTCTATTAACGTGTTCTATAACATAAAAGAACATTCTATGGATCTTCTGATTTCTTAATCAGTACTTGTAATGACGTGAGGATTGCAAAGTATCAAATTCTTGAGAGCTCATTTTTCATACATATTCAATGTTTCTTACTGCAGCTCAATATTATGGTATTATAAAAAAAACAAAAACTTAAATTTAATTTTATATACGTATACATATTTGAAAAATGCACAGGACGTTATTTTATGTTATAACGCCTGAAGAAGAGCGATAAACTTAAGCTTTTCTTTATGTACCACCCTAATATACATATTAGCACATACATACATAACCTGTTGGCCGAAGGTAAGTGAGTGAACGCAAATACCGCGATGCCCTTATACAATGTTGTTTCATGCTTTTCAGCAATCATCAGCGCGGTATGGGTCTAATCTTTAAAACGATTCTATTTAACCTGTGTTCATTTTATGCAACTTCTGCATAGTACGTCAGAGCGAGTAGCATGGTGAGCACTTAGTGTTTCGCTGAATGATGAGACGCCTATGTGGTAGAGACAGTTCAATCAGAGATGATGCGAAAGGTTATTTGTAGTAGGTAGTTTCGTTCTTATTCTTAACAATGCTGTACCTTATTGTTAAACAAGAACACATGGCATTTGCTCATTTTACACCTTGAAAACTCACCTTGAGCAAAGAAAGGATTCAGTCCATACACTTTAGTAGGGTCCTTAGGCATCTTGGGTCTGAAGTTGAATGGATTACTCAGCACCCCTGGCATAACATCGTCATCCCCGCTCACATCTGGCCTACGGGGTTGAAAGTTGAAGAGGTTGCTCTCAAACCTCCTGGGAGGGTCATTGCCGATCCTGTTGGGTCTCTGATTCTGTGCGCCTTCCTCAGGCACGGAGTTTTCTGACAAGGGCTGGACTTGGACACGCAGCCTGTGCTGCAGATTGACCGTTGTCACTATCTGGACTTGGTGCACTGAAATTAACAATCTTAGTTAATAACTACCTAGCTTGGAGTATTTTATTGTGGGATTTTTATTAAAAAAAGATCCGAACATTTCTTTGCTTTGGAGCTTCTTCTCATGTAATGCAAACGACACTGGTAAGTGGATAATAAAAAATAAAAAATTAACAAATCATATCCAAAAAGGTGGGTCAGATAAGTAATGAGGATGACCGATGTAGTTTCAAGTGGGTGGAATTGTGTTAGAGGATCCAAATTAACACCAAAACCTGCCGTCATACTGGAGCTCTATAATAATACATTATATGTAGGTAGACTTGTAAGCGATTATTGACCGAGCACTTTTATATCCTGTACCCCTTTCATTGACTCTAATAGAAAATCACACTCTGTCTCTTTTTCTGCTCCTACGGTTTTGTATCGATTCGAAAATACTGTATTCTTGAAAGGACTCGATAGAAAGGAGAACGGAAATCAAGACACATGGTTGCAAGGTTTGAGTAAACGTGTTAAACCAATCATTTTTACCGTCAAAAACTAACCAAAGATTTTGTTCAAAATTTCCTCATAATTTTATCTAAGAGTCGAAAACTTTAAAAAAAACACATTACAAATGAACAAAAGGACAAAATGATTGAATTTCTCCCAGAGCACGCCCAAATCACCAAGGAAAATTCAATCATAGATTAAAGGATACTGCTTTAGGATGACTAAAACTTAATATCTACTCTTGCCTTTGTTGTGATCGAAAGTGCAGAAGCTCGTGGGGGCGGTTGTATGAATGGAGTCAATATCTCCAGCAATTCATGCACCAAATTTTTGTTCAACCTAAACATCTGTACAAATTTGCGATCCGAAATTATGGAAGGATCTCGGTGCCCAAGAATATCGCTCCCAATCTCCCATTCCTCAACTGCCTCCTCTACATCCTCGTTAATAATATTGTTCTAATACATCAATTGATTGGAATTATCAATTTTTTGGAATGTGTTTAGCAGGAACGGCAATAACAATGCCAAACATGTGAATTTTTAAGTTATATAGTGCTATTTTTCCAGTTTCTCTTGGTCTGCACCAAGAGAAATTGCGACTCCCCAAAGTGAATCCATTTCTATCACTTTTCGGTAGAATTGATTTCAAGAATACTGCATTTCTTAGCCACACCCACTTTTTGCCATTTTCTCTCACAATTTCTACTCCCTCAAACTCAAGAATCGAGATCCTGGAGGCGATAGCGCTGTGGGATATAGTGTGCGTAATGGCCTTTTTAGGCGAGCACTGATGACGCTAGACCATCAATGGCGTCAAGTAGGTTCACTCTGCACTTCCTACGCAACACCGTCATCAGTTTACAAAACACAAGTTAATTTCTCTGCCAAAAAGGTAGTTAAGAACATGTGCAATAGATAAATTAAGTGGATCAAGTTAGTCAAACAGGCCCATACATTATTTCGCTGCCCTACCGGTAGTTACCGTCCATCTCGCAACGTTGTTCCCTCTCCTATCGTCAGATGCGGCAGCACTCACCAAAGCAGTGTCGCAGTACGAACAGAACAATGAAGCAGACCGTTTCGCCGAGCGCTGAGCCCAGATAGCGAAAGGGGACGCGTATCGAAAGGAGCTCTCTGTCTCTCTAAGTTTTATAGACAGATGTACGGGGAAACCTATGATATGTGAAATATAGCTTATGGGTGCGAAGAATTCCTGCAGACTCTCTTACAGTAAGCCCTCAAGGAGTCTTGTAGACGATATTGAACTATGAAATGGTGGTGGGGGGGGTGGGGTGTTATTCATATGAAAAATGATGTAAAATGTGATTTCTCTTAAAATCGATACATCCAAGAACTGTTTTTAGCTGCGTCGAAAAATATCCGTAAATTGCTTTAATACTTTCTACAAGCAATTTGATGTTAATGCAAGTTTTGTTGTAAACGTAGCTGTATTAGTTGCAACTACACAGATTATCGTTCCAAAAATGTTACATCTGGGACAGTCCGATCTGTCATGTGTAAGAAATACCTGCTTACCTATTTTTCTCACTCTCTCTTTGGGTTTCCTTTTTTCTAAACGAAATGCTGTGTTACCAATTAAATTCTAGAAAATTTATACAAAAACTGGTAGACCGTCTAGCTACTTATAACATAAATAAAATATGTAATGTTTCATACCTAACGTTGCAATGATATTATAGCTAAGGAGATAATCACAGACTTTTCGCGTTTGCCGACTACGTTCGGAATTCTTAAGCTGTATCAAAAACCTTTTCAAAACCGGGAACGACGGACAGCCTCGGCAAAGCCGCCGCTCTAGCGGAAGGAATTTCACATTTTTTTATGCTACCTACTAAATACAGCCATTCGCTAACGGTCACTGTTACTTAGCTGTCAGCCTCAAAATGCTCTGAATGTGTTTAGTTGCCTCTCAAGCAAGGGGATATACGTAAAGTATGCATCGTTTTTCATTGGGAGATGTGCTTTTATCCTCTTATGACCGAGATACAGGAAGTTTCCTCGATTTTGAAACTTCGTCCTCGGACTCAGCTTATGACACTGAATCGAATATGATAAGGACAGGAAAATAAATACCGATGCGGACTGGTTAAAAGCTGACCGTATAACATAAGAACATTACCCTGTATATACACACATTTGCAAAGCACAAAGTAGTTTCGTTCCAACGAACCACTTTTTTATTCAAACAAACAAACGCATGTAAACCTCCGGGTTTGTAGCTCGTTTCTGGGTAGAAGGGTCGGCTCAATTTCGTCGGCCTATGCTATTAACCTCTACAAAAATTTTCCTGTAAATGATCAAGAGCCTGTAAAATGTCAAATAGCGTGTTTCGAGTGACTTTTATTTCGTTCGTACTTTGCCTGTAGCTTCGCCGCCACTGGGTCGATTTTCAAGTACTTCAAGCCCGTTGTATCCTTGGGACATTGACGTTGCATGAAATTTCACCAAAATCCGACTTCGCGATTAAGATAGGGGTCAAGGATTAGCGGACAACCAGACCAACATAAATGGGTGACATGGTTTTTCGTGATGGACATGTCATGAAACATCCCAAAAATGTAACATCCCATTTTCGATTTTTCGCGACTACAATACTTCCTCACCAGGCTTAGAAAGCGTGAATTAATATACATTGACTAAACTATGAACAAGTCCGCTCTCAAAGCACTGTCCTGCAAAATAAAGCTATGAATAATATTGAACAAAAATATGTAAGTACGTCGAAATAAAATCTATGTTACAAAAAATGCAGTGGTTGAATATAAAAAATTCATATGATGTTTGGATCTTATTTTTATATTAAAAATGAAAAGTCATCTTTTGCCACAACGCTTAGAACACTACATTTACCACAATTATTATATGAGAGGAAATATAGATGTTCAAAATTGCAATAGTAATATAACTAGCAAATCAATATTTCAGAAAGGATTGCTTGAATTTAATAAACGAAATAATGATATAAAGTCTACTTGTAATTTAAAGATGTTCAAAAGAAAATTAAGGGAATATTTCATGGACAGTAAAAATTCTTAAAGATGCAAATTTTGTTTTTCTAAATATTTGTATGTTATGTAATTGTAGTTTTTTAAAAGAATGTAATTGTAGCAATCATGCTAAAACAATCTTAAACAAATCAGGAAACGAGGAATTAACTAAAGCACTTTGTAAATATCTTCAGTGCTCCAACAGCTTGCAAAACATAAACAGACAAAATAGTTAGGTACGTCGCAAATTTCAGACTCATCATCTCCTTGACTATAAAATGTACCAATTATTACCTTTTAAAATAATGATTATATGCCATAAAAACGAACGTATTGCCATACCGTACTTTGTACTACACTAACACTGTAATCGACGTTTTATTACACGTCGCGATGCTACACTAGAATCTACTGAGTTGGGAATGAAAATTGTTGTGCACTGACAAGTAAGTCAGGTTTCAAAGTTGCGACCAGTAGTATCATTATAAACGTCTCTTTCCAGTTAATAGTCGAATCTTCGTTGCATAAACACAACACCTCCTGAACGAGATTTATCATCTTTGATGAATATTGTATTTTGAAAACGGTGCATCTTCGAATCTACCATTAAAAAACTGTCTTTCTTAGAATCACACGAATCACCCCTTGAATCACCGTTAAAAATAGAGCCCCACCATTTTTTTGAAACTCTCTCCCTCGATTTCTCCTGACTTTACTTTTGGAGCTATCAGTCTTGTGCTCTATTTATAGAGGTCTTGCTAAGTTTGTTCCCTCTACAAACTACAAACTGGTTTAACCAAAAATATTGTTTGTGGGATAAATGATCCAGTATAGTCAACATCTGTTTGGGAGAGCTCAGAAACATTTCTTCGTACATGTTAGGCGCACTTTACGGGAAGCCCACGTCCGCCACTGCTTATCATCTTTCCTTCCTCAACAATGATCGTGCACCTTTCCATCCAGGTAAAATATTATTATCATATTATTATTATCATTAAATAAGATGCTCATTTGCATGGGTCTGTCTGCCTGTCTGTCCGACGCCGGTCTGTTCACTAATCCTTCGCTCTATAAAATGGAATCTAATGCTTGGATTTCAATGAAACTTTGACACAAAGTTATTGCCATGCCAATGACAAATAGTTTCATTTCTCTATGTTTTCCGACATTATGATGGTATTTTGCACAGGCTTTACTGCATTTTTAGAGGTTCTGCATATTTGATCACTTTAGAACGTAATTAAGAAATATTGTTAAGGGCACAAAATTTTTGAAAATAATACCAGTTTCGTTTTTCAGAAAAATATCAGACTTTCAACATTTCTTAATTCAACCAAAAACCCTTGGGGGTTTTAGAACTTGCCTGTGTAGAAATCTAGGTGGCTCGTCTGATGGCTTGAGTTCAATATGTACGAAAGACAATCGCGAGAAGTGTGTAACATGTTAGAAAGAGATAGGAGCCGGCTGAAGAGCACACCACATTGTCTAGCAACGGTGACGCAATCTGCTGCGTTGCCAATAGTTTACATCAGAAAATGTTCGCACAGGCTGCTACAATAGGTTAAGTTACTGTCAAACCCAAGAAGGAGATTACATTTAATTTATTGTTTTGTTTTCATTTTGATTAGAATTATTTATTTCAATTTTGATGAGACAGTGTTTTAATTTATTTTTGAATCGTCTTTGATCTCCACCGATGGTGATAAAATCAACACGTCCTGAGATATTGTTACATTTTGCGTCAGCCCCCCGGAAAATGCAACAAATACCATTACGCAACACAAATTATGACAGGCAGCGTGTACGCAGGTGAAAACCATATCGAAGCAGGGCGAAAGTCTTCAATGAGCGCTAGATAGGTACTGACCAAAATCGCTCATATATGCCAAGTGAACCAATGATGCCATCTTGTAGAATTTGTGGCAATCCTGACCTTTCACTAGAACCGATCCGGAATCGATCCTAAACACATTCGACACAATTGAAAAGTGTGTACGCTAAAAATAAAATCATTATTTGGGCGTAGAGACTGAACTAATGCATACTTTCAACATACATCCTAACTCAAGGAACTGGTGTAAGAAATCGGCAACTCGAACACATTGAATCCGTCAGACAAATTTGGTTTTCAGTGTATATAAGCAACACACATGATATTTGTAATTTTTTAATGGAATGTCACAAATTTTATTGCATATTTGTATAAATCAATGCGAAAGAAAAATATATAACATACTGCGGGGCTTTGGTAGTCAGTTGCAGACCTATAAGGGGTTTTTCTGGATGTCAAGGAAAACCCAAAACTTTAGCATAGACGATATGAGTTTGTTCCTTAATTTTGATGAAGCTCAGTAACTCAATAACTAGTGATTTAATTCTGATGAACTCTTATACCAAAAAGAGAGCTTATAAGAACGTGGATCTAAATATGCAAAAATATACCGGTCTTTGCATTTGAAATTTTTTAGAAGAACAGTTTGCGTTTTTGACTACCCTGTATAAACGAAAATAAGAAATCCAAAAGATATTAAATAAGGTCAAAGCTGAGGCATGCAAAAGTAATTTTAGAAAAACATTAATAGCATTAAATCATGCAAACTGGCGGGCTGGCAGGATGCTGAAGTCGGGAGCTTCTTCTAAACAAAACACTTTATAGCTGTGCAGCTAGTTATCAAATCAATTATTAAAAATTATCAATCTTATTTTTTTAAATCGTTTCAACCAAGCATGCAATAATTATTTATGTATTCCATTTAAAAAATTACAGCGCTGACATGAGGGTTGAAATTGGGACACCCTGTATGAATATTTAGGGTATGTAACCCCAAACCAAACTAGATACTTGACGTCATAATTACGAAAAAGTTAAAAATATGTAGAACAAACAAATACTTTTTAATAACAAGCTTTTATTTAGCTTTTCATAAATGAAATAAAAATTTAAAAATATCTTTCTCCCATTGGAAATATTTAAACGATAATGACGCTCTTTCATATCAAGTTTTCAAATAATAGCCTGTTGCGTTTTGACAGCATTATCGAAAAATATTTTTAATTCAATTTATGAACAGCTAAATAGAAGCCTGTTTTAAAAATGTACCTTTTTATTCTATAATCAAGGAATTTGCCCCCCCTTTCTTAGAAGATATCCAGCTAGATGTAGTCCACTGAGAATGCTCACATAATATTACCACTAATCCAAAAAAACGCGTTCACTGAACAAATCAAAACAACCTAGATTTGATAAAAGACATACCAAATGTCAGCACGATTATCACTTCGCTAACAAACATCGTTTACAATATTGTCATACCACTGCACTAGACAAACCATGTACTTTTTCTGACGAAATTCTTTCGCAGGTATAACCGAAAGCCCACACAGGTCTGGTCCATTTGGTTCTTGGAACATGACCCCTAATTAGCATTTAAGCTGATCAATGCCGGAATAGATTATTTTTGAACCAGTGCAAATTGTCGTCTGATAAGCATCTTGCTATGCGTCTGTAGGCTGACTCACTGATCCGCGATGGTGTGATAAGGAAGAGATGTCTGCGAAATTGGAAATTCGAGTGAAGTGCATTGTATCAGTGGTACTGCATATAGCATACGGGTGTGCAGTGTGTTAATTATTCTGCTTACCAAAATTTATATGAAAATTTACCCACCGAACGCAATTGGCAACGATAACCCGACTCGGCACCCGTGTTCAAGTACAAACATTCAACAAAAAAAAATCGGAAACGGAAACGCGACCAGCAGCTCAATGCTGAGTCTGCCTATGCTAATCTGTTTGCTTTTGTCCACCAGTTGATAAATGGTACCATATATGGATGTGTTTTCACACTTCAGCTCTCGATGGCATTTTTAACCTCTTTGAAATTATCCACTTGGTTCAGCAGTGAAGAAGGCTACAGTCGTCACAAGAAGTATGGCAAGCAAACTAGTAGCGTTCGAATGATCATCAGACTAGAGAAATTGCGAAAAGGTGTTTCTTTCCACAACTTCTTCATTGCATACACAGTTTTTCCGTGAAGGTCGACCAATTATTTATTTTTTGAACCGGTCAAGTTACCAAGTTGAAATTTGACGTGATGAGATTGGAGCATGCATACATACTTTGGCGTAAAAAGAGCCGTTGAGAATTTCAAGATGTCGAATGGAGTCGTCTTGCAGTATTTCTTTAATAGAAGGGTGGGTCATACGATACCTTATTTGGAAACTCCTTACTGGTACTGTATAATCCCAGAATATAAAGGCGGATTTATACAATTCTCAGTCATAGTACTAATCATAGACGTGAACAGAATATCGTACGTGTATCTTATGAATACGTTTATACAAATTATCAAAAGAGTAAGCACAGTTATAGTTGAAGTTGGTAATTTTGAACTCTTAAGATTACGCCACGAAGACTATAGATAGGAGGTTAAAAAAGTGCCGACGATGGTGTACGCTGCGGAGCAAATGCATTCCTGGTTCTGCACATATGGTATCTCTCCTATAAATAGATCGTATAAATATCTCTGCTGCTGTCATCATGAACGAAAACGACTCCAATTTTGACAGTTCAGATAAGATGCAAGCAGAAATATTGTAAAATAGACACTCTCCAATGAGCGCTAGATGGGTACTGACCAAAATCATGTGTTATCAAACTACCCAATGATGCAATGTCGCTAGGACCGATCCGAAATCGATCCTAAACAGATTCGACACAATTCACAGTTCAAAAGTGTATACTCTCATAATAAACTATTTGGGTGTAGAGAATAATTTAACCCATGCTTTCATCATGCATCTTCATTCAAGGAATTGGTGTAACATATTGGCAACATGGTAGATTGCCACGTCAGCGTTGCTAGGCAACGCGGTGGTGAGCCTCGCTATCCAGCCGGCTTCCGTCTCTTTCTATCTTATGTGTCTATATACACTTATCTCTCGTACACATTGAACTATAGCCGTCAGACAAATTTGGTTCTCAGTGTATGATGTAGAGCCATGATTGATGTTTGAGTTCATCTGAGTTTTACAATTCCAAATCGCTTCGAAAAGGATCACTAAACTATTCCTAATACCGATTCCCCAGAATGGGCGTAGTTATTTCAACATTTCAGTAAACATGGAAGAAGTGAGATGCTGAGTGAGATACAAGGTGGTCGTGCATAAATACATAGAATCCGTTTGCTTCCAATAAAATACAGATTAATGAGTTTTTAAGTTAATATGTCTTTCAGCCTCTATATGGCAAAATCGGGAAGTGTGCACCGACGAGGTATCCTATTCTGCTCGATTGGAGTTTACGTTACTAAGGTGACTCAATTACTCCAAAATTCAGAATTGAGTCTACCTCAAAAGTCCGAATAAAATAAGTCGGTTCCCACTTCCAATCTTAAAATACATAACATGAAAATGGGACAAATCACATTCAAGATGTTACAAAGTAATTACTGAGCAAGTTCAGAATCCCTTGTCTTCTTGAGTGTTTTCATTCGCATGACGCTATAAAAATGGTTACGGCTGTGAATGTACAGAAAAATAGAAATTTCGACTGACTCATGTATCTGCACCTCGATAATAAAAAGAAAGCTATCTGGAAACCGTAAGTCCATTTGAGGTTATATAGCAGATTTCAGGATAAATACCCAAAAAAGGAATAAAAAAAGCTAGTTCAAAAGATATAAATCTTCAATGTGTCACTTTAGGTAATCTTCGTACAACGGAGCGACCTTCCTTAACCGGGCAACGAAGTTTATGCGAGGAAAAAATGCTTCTCACTTAGGTTTTACTGATTCACAACTTCTGATCCAGTAATCAGCTGCAAATAATCTTTGATAGACTTCGGTCACCTTTTTCTTGCCATCGTATCTATACATGCTTTCATAAATAAGTAATAAAAGTCTCCGGTTATTTATCGTAGGTAATACTAACTGTAATAAAATGGCATTTCCGCTAAGTATGATCATGTACTTTTCATGTAATTCCTTAAATGCACGTTCATGTTTGTTGTTCTTCAGGCACTTTTGTACACAATTCAAATTTATGGTACAACATTCCCGCCTGGACTATTTTTTGTTTTTTGTACTTTACTGAGGTCAAGACCAGTTCAAGATATGTAATTAGTAATTTGTTATTTTTAATGCAAATACTGAAGGTCAAATTCAAACATCATAATAGGTATTCAAAACATGTATTATTTACTTGATTGTAAGCTAAAACTTTGTTGTAAAGTTGGTTCCTGTACATCTTTGTTTCACGTCTTTGTAAATGATCTACTTGAACATTTTATTTTAAAGATTACTTACTGGATATCTTTGGGCCACTGCAAATCAGATTTCCGTTCACAGAAATCTTTGAAACCTTGGGAGGTATATCTTGCCATGTTGGAAAAAATACTTTGTAACTCAATGTTCGATGATTGACCACGTCCTCGATGAGCTTTTCTTTGTAGTGGTGGCCTTGTAGCTCGATTTTTCCATTATACCCCTGCAATGAACAAACATGTATTTAATAAGTGGTTTATTGTTCACAAGGCAAAAGAGTTGCGCCAGCTTAGAATATTACTAATAATTGTTAAATATGAAGTTCTTGTCAATACCCACCCCCCTCCCCGCAAGTAAGAACTCAAGTCATGAGAGAACAAGAAAGCGCATGACACAAAAAAGCGCACCAGATTTTTTTTGAAAGGGCTAGAATTTCAAATAATTTTTTAGACGTTTCACACGTATTTTATGATTTTAGAATATAGCCAAAACATACATGGGATAGATATTTGGCAAGTCCCACCTTTGCAAGTTGCGAATGTCAATAATGTCAAAAATCGAAAGATACGCAAATAAGTTATTTTAAATACCAATAATCAATAAACGCGGCCCAAATATATCATGTTTTTAATCTTAATAGCGCGATACAGAAATCTGTTCATTTCTTTCTGACTTTATTTGCAATAGGATTTCAAAATACCTTGCACATTAACATTGCCACTTTATCACCTCTGCAAGATGGCGTAATCAGAATCTCAAGATGGGGTTTCGTTTGTTGTCCTCCTGCATCAACTTTATGTTTTTTATGGATTTTTGAGTATTTAATTCTGATTCCAAAATGTATGTAATACGTCATATATTGACATCGCCAAACCTTAGTTATTAAAAAATTTTTCTAGGTAAGCCTTGAAATTACCAGATAGTCATTTGTTTCACATACCCGACATATCCCAAAAACACTTTTATTTTTTCCTGACATTATTTGAGATGGGATTTGAAATTAATTGCATGTTGTCATTGTTACTTATTCTCCTCTGAAAGATGGCGTAGTTAAATTTTCAATTCGACATTTTTTCTTCCGACTTCCATCACCAGCTTTTTGTTTTTTCATATGGACGCTATGTTGTTGACGGATGAAAATTATAAGGAAATAAAAAGGTATGGTAAAACCTGAACAGAATATGAACATTTTATTGATGATGATAATAATAATAACTGACTCGTCTTTGTACATTGTTGACTACTCGATTTATTTCTCTTCTTCTCAGTCTTTCAAACTCTGTTGCTATGTCCAATTTGAGGTCTGGTCTGGTATACGAAGCAAATGAAATCTAATAATTTCAAGGCTTACCTAGGACATTCTGTTTTTCTTGAATAACTAAGGATTGACAATGTCAATGTTTGACATGTTATACATTTTTGAAATCACAATTAAAAACTCTCTTCATCTGCGTAAAAATCCAATATGGCGTTCATAAAAAAAATAAGGTTGATGATGGAGGACAAGAGACAAAAAGTCATATTGGAATTCTAATTATGCCATCTTGTAGAGGAGAAAGGTGGCAATGTTACTGTGCAATTTACTTTGAAATCCACTACAACTAAAATCAGGAAAAAGTAGTAACGATTTTGAGAACATTGGTATTTTCCGTCTCTTTCCAGAAGTACTTTGTATTTCTTTTCTGGCGACTGTTGACGTGTGTCCCGATGTTTATCAGATAAATTTGTGAATGCATCTATTTTCCGCAAAGTAACGTGTCTCTAGGCTTTTCCTACCGTTAAACGTGTGATGGCAAAGTTAACCTCGTCTTTGAAGACGGGACTGATGTGCGACGGTGACATTTTGTCTCTTAAGAATGATTCCCTGAGCGACTATTCTATCCGTCTTCAGCAATGCTCCTCGAAAAGCAAGAAAAACACGCCCACACTCTCATTTTTAAGATCGAGGACCATGAGTGAATTGAAATCCGCTGCTTACTGAGACTTCTCATCATTATTATTATTATAAGAGTGACTTCTCGCAAATAAAGGTCCATGGCTCATTGAATATACTTGGAATCGTACTTTTTATCGATTACGTTTGCTGATTAATTCTAAGATGACTTGGGTGCAAAGACATCTCACAATGGTTTAATGTCACGGCTAAAATTACAGGAAGTTGCCGCTGCTGTGGAATTGTTCTATTAATTATATACTTTGATATCAAGGCAGAACAAACAGCATTATCACTTGTCTGGTGAAGCACTATGACATCTTTAGCAATAAAAACAACGCGTAATAACAATAAATGTTCCTATTAATATTGGAAGCGCTATGAAACTATTAAAGGAGCTATGAGACTAAATTACTAATTTTGTATTATTCAATGAAAATTTAATTGCCTTTTTACGAAAAACGTGTTCCACTGATTTTGTTTTCTATCAAATAGTAGTAGATAGTGTAAGTACAACCATTAATTCGGCAAGGAGAAATTTGTTCGATTGAACTACGTTTCAAGTTATTAATATAGAATTATCGTAGGTTCCTCATTATTGCTACCATATCAAAAAGTTATAGATAAATACTGTCTATGAGAAGGAAAATAATTATGTGCAAAAGTACTGAATCCATTCAGTCATATATGCGAGATAACCAATGATCCTTAAAACTGTTGGAGTTACAATGTAGTTGGTTTTGAAGACATCTTGCATTTTCATGGGATTAAGATAACTCTCTCATTAGTTTTTTAAATGTAATTTCAATCACACCTCCAAGTCCAGTCATCTAGCCATTCGCCTATTATATTATCAAATGGCTGGGATGACTCGAGGTGTGACTGGTAGTGTACGAAATTGAATTGCTAAACTAAATTTTAGTATACCATAGTTATTGTGGAGAGTGGGCAAGTGATTTTGTCGATTTTGTATGTTTTTATTTGTTTCTAACGTTCTTCTGACTGAGGTATATCAAAGTAACAAGTTCTCTGGTTAATCTAAGCTTAGGTGCCACTCGACAACAAGTTCTCACCTTGCAACGCTTTGATGAAACTAAGTTGGACGTATGGAATCGATTTATGGAGCACATAATCTCCAGTGAGGGTCCGTAAGTGGTAGACGGTCTTTGGCTATCGAACGGGGAGGTGTGCACGTTGTATATAGGCCCACGGTACCCAATGGGTGTTTAGGACTTAGGCCTTCATGACGATTCAAGTGTAAAAAAACATGTAGCAAGAGCAATATCGCAGAGCAAGGAATGATCGTCCATGCTACGTTTGAAATGAAGTGACTTAGCGTGACCATCGAGGAAGTGATCCACGAGTTGTGTGTTGGATTCAATAGAAGAGATGAAACATTCTCAAATGTGTCAATAAACCGATTATACGTATATCTAATAATGAGCTGGTGACTAGGTTAAAAGGCCATTTGGCACCTTTTCTGATGATATGACCAAGATAATCTTAAGTAATATCATAAACAGTTGATTCTTAAACAGAGATCAATAACTGTAGTGATACACTGCATGCATTTTTTAGAGTAGGTTAGTCCAAAAAATGTGCCTGTTACCCATATGGAAAGATTTCTGCATTCTCTCCGAGGTTATATATATAACCTTAGGAAGATATTACTTTTTCAGACGTTCCATTCCTTGGAAGATACCATCACCTAAGTTTCTAAAAACGGCCTGCTTTTGCAAAAGTTAACACCGCTTACTAATTACGCAGTTTATTAATTTTATTATGTAAGATGCGTTATGCATATGAAGGCGGCATTGCATCGGCCGTACCTACCTGAAAATCGCAACATTACACAAAATGTATTCTATTGGCAAGGTTGGAAACAAGATTTCCTATGAATTCTTCCGAGAAATCTTTGAAAACAACTTCAATATATCGTTCCGTTATCCACGACAAGATACTTGTAGTACGTGTGATTCCTTAAAAGCTGATATATCTTCACTTACGCTACCTTAAATTCCGACACGGAACAAACTAGGCAGTCAGCAGGTAATAATTTGGAGAAAAAGATACTTGAGAAGACACTACATCAAAAAAGGAGTGAGCGGTTTTACAGTCAAATATCTCGACAAATGGTGTTTACTGTAAGCGGCAACTGAATTTCATCAATTTTAATATCCACATTCTGTCAAACTCAAATTCTATCTTTTATATAGTCAACGCCAAACAAAGTGGCGTGCACGTCATCACGATAAAAATTCCCCGACCTAATGCCTAGGTTTCTATCACAAACAATTGCTCTATTGCAGTTTCATATTAATGTGATATACAGGGTGACTTCGAAGTTGAGTCATTTATTTTAACAGTGAGTAGATCTGATCAAAAGAAATGTTTTTTTCCTTTACCATTTTACTGGTAAAATTAAAGTAACAAAGTTATAGCCCTTTGGAAGTTTGAGTACCGCCCTGCCTATTATATGCTCGTGTTTGGCGACAACGGATATAATCCGCCTGACCGGGTCATCGCATCGGAAACAAAAAAGCGAAAGAATTTGAAACGTTTATCACGATGTTTTTCGTCAGTCGATAACGCGTAAGTGAATAGTAGTGTGTGTTGCGTGGTTCAAACGAAATCAAAAATGGCACATGTTTACGAAAATGCTGAACTTGTGGACATGATTCTTATTTACGGGGGGGCAGTCTTTACAAAATGCTCCCGGATGCATCACGGATTTATGCGAATCGGTTTCCCAATCGAGTGCAACCAACCCCTCGTGCCTTTGTTAATGTAGTACAAAGAGCTCGTGAATCAGGTGACTTAAGACCTCACAGGTGAGGGCATGCTGCTCCAAGACCGCACGATCAAATACAGGTCCGCACTGAAATACTTGTCGGGAGGATACTTTATAAAATAAGGTAACATTTTTTTTTTAATTTTTGTTTTATTTTTACACACATATTTTGGTTTATCTTCCTTCTACAATCATTATCTGAAAATTAATGACTCAACTTCAAAGTCACCCTGTATAAATTGTAAAATGGTCATTACTCTCTTATTATGGTTAATAGTCATATAAACATTGTTATTAAAATATCACATAAGTTGCTTTCTGATAAATTTAGACGCATTATGCGAAATAAAATGTTTTGCAAACGCTCCAATCACTTATCGACATGTAAACGCACTAAACCGATTTCGCAGCGTTGACACATTGTCACCTTGAAACTTATTTAAACTGGGAACTGACATTTGTATTAATTTTGACACTGAATCAATTTGTGGCATTTCAA